CTTGCACAGTTAGTTCGTGATAAGCAGATTCTAGATAAATGAACAGGAGCCAATGTCTGTGCTAGCCATGAAGCTACAATGATCAAAGCAGTTCCACTCAGCAAAGGATGCTGAGGGGAAGAAACGGGCAGAGGCAGAAGGAAGATGCTGTTATGCTTCCAGGTAAGCTCAGAACCTTTTAAAAAACAAGACAGCCCCTCAAAGCTGCCTTTCACTGTCTTTGTGTCAGAAAAGTAAGCACTCAATGTAGGAAGACTGGTCTTCCTCTTCACATTCCATATATGCTCGCTGCCTGCTTGCTGAGAGAGGAACAGGTAAGGCGTCCCTCCTGGCAACAAACCACTAGAAAACAACAGGACTCTGGGATCTCTGAGATCTGCCTTGGTATGGCTGGCATCTGCCATCTGCCCAGCACCTCTGATAAACTCTATTGAATAGCAAGGAGCTTTATTCCTGCGCAGTCCAAGTGTGTGCAAAGACTATTTTTTATTTTGCTTAAATGCTTTCCTAGGCATATAACTACAAACACAAAGTTTGCTTTTTTTTTTTTTTTTTTTTAAATGAGACTGATATCCTACTTACTGCACTAATGAGGTACCTTCATTCTTTTTTTTTTTTTTTTCCTTTAAAGTCGGGGCCCAGGCTGGCATGGAACTCTTGATTCTCCTGCTTCAGCCTCCTTACAAAAGGGGCATCAAGAAGCCAGACCATGAGATTCACTTTTTACATTTTTACATTACATTTTAGGGGCTGGAGAGATGGCTCAGCAGTTAAAAGCACTGGCTGCTCTTGCAGAGGACCTGGGTGCAGTTCCAAGCACCCATATGGTGGGTAACAAATGTCAACTCCAGTTCCAGGGGATCTGATGCCCTCTTCTGGCCTCCATGGACACTGCTTGACACATAGTATACTTACATACATGTAGGTAAAGCAGTCATACAAATAAAAATAACATTTCTAAGAATTACATTAAAATGTATTTAATGTGTGTGCGCATGTGTGCATGCATGCACATGTGCATGCCACAGTACACATGTGAAAGCCAGAAGAGAACTTATGGGAGTTGGACCTGTTCTTTTACCACGTGGGTCTCAAGGACTAAACTTATACTTGGTGGCAAGTCCGTTTACCTGATGAACCAGCTCACTGGCTCTAGATTCCCTTTTTTCTTTGTTTTCTTAAGACAGGGTCTCACTATGTAGTTCTAGCTGGCAGGGAGCTCACTATGTAGACCAGGCTGGCCTCAAACTCATAGCAATCTGCCTGCCTCTGTCTCCAGAGTGCTGAGATTAAGGGCATGTGATACCAAGTCTGACCTGAAATTCACTTTCATGACATTAAAAGATCAAATAAAGACAATACCTTTAATCCAAATACCACATGAGCATGCATGCAGTGGCATCCAGACTGCAGGAAACTCCACTGAATAAATGATCCCATTTCTTCCACAAAGCGACTGAGACAGGAAGTCCATATTCAAGAGGATTTAAGAGACAGGGTATCCTGTAGCCCCAGCTAGCCTCAAACTCACTATGTAGACCAGGCTGGCCTTGAACTCACAGAGATCCATCTGCCCCTGCCTCCCGAGTGCTGGGATTAAAGGCATGCACCACCACACCTGGCCTATTTCTAAGAAGAATGTGGATCCGTAGATACCATCGATTTTAGGAGATTTTCTTTTTTGAAATTACAGGATAATTAGAGAGATGTAAACATAGACTAGAAATCTGATTATATCAAGGAAAAATTGTAATGCTTTGAGGGGTATAATAATGGTAATATGATTATATTTTTAAAAGAGAGTCCTAATCTTTATGAGATTCATACTGATTTATAGATTACAAAATATGATAGTTTTAGGGCCTTTTGGCTAAAAATCAAGTATAAAATAAAAAATAATGTAATGTCTAGGATGTAAGATAATGTAATAATGTAATGTAATCTGCTACAAAATAATCAGGTAGAGTGGGTTTGGGGAAGTGATAGGGTTTTAGAAGAAACAAGATTGTTGGCTAGAAATCATTGAGGTGTGTATGCATGAATTCTTGTAGCACTCTATCTTATATTGGGAATTTCCAAGGAGTTAAAAAGTAAATTCAGGGGCTGGAGAGATGTCTCAGTGGTTAAGAGCACTGACTGCTCTTGCAGAGAGGGCCCAGGTTAGAGTCCCAGCACTGACAAGGCAGCTAACAACCATCAGAAACTGCAGTTCCAGGGGATCTGACACCCTCTTCTGACCTCCGAGGGCACTGTATGACACAGGTGCACTTACAAATATGCAGGCAATACACTCATACATATAAAATAAATAATTTTTTAAAAAGACATACTTAAAAAAGTTAAAGTTGGGCCAGCAATCTGACTCAGACTTGTTGTACATGTAATGGTAGAAGGAGAAAACCAACTCCCGAGAGTTGTCCTTTGACCTCCACATCCATCAGTGGCATGTGCGCCCCCACACACAAACACACAAGATAAAATATTTTTTCTCAAAGCATAAAGTCCATAGTAGAGCACACATTGCTCGCCTTTTGCTACTATCTTGTCCTTCTTCAATGCATCCCCCTCTCCTTCCATCAGATCAGACACTTACCTTTGGAAAGTTGGGATGCTCTGAGGGATACACCCTGAATCCACTGCCCTCAAATGTCAGAAAGAAGATGCCAGCAGGTTAGCAACCTTCCTATTGTTTTTAACTCAGAAACCAGAAACACAGCTTTATGTGTGCCTTGGCCACCTACTCAAGCCTGCAAAAAAACTGTCAACTCAGTGCTCCAATGCAATGTCACCAGGAACCTTCTCGGGCTTCACATCAGCCTTTGAAACAGTCCCCAACACACTGGGTCAATTGCATGACTGCCTATCTTTGTCCTTAAAAGTTAAATTAATCAATATGCAATATTCGGCATCTTTTAGTCAACCACACTTTGCAAATATCAGGCAAAATGAAGTTTCTGAAAGAGTTTATGACATTCACTTCCACTCTGGATACAGCCAACACTTACAACCATCCATAGATCCAATACTGCCAACCAGGAAATGTCACCTCACTCCAGCCCAAACCCCAAGTCTAATAAACCATTGACTACAAACTTCCTTAATTTAAATGGGTCAGGCTGTATAATTCTGGAAAACTTAGGGGAAGCAAATGAGGGGGTACTTGGTTGTTTTTTGGGTTTGTTTTTTGTTTTTTTTTTTTTTGTATAGCAAAATCAGTCTTCTTTAAATTGGGGTTTGGCTAAATCTATCTTCCATGAAAGAAAACAGCTTTTGCCTTCCAGGTAACCTGGAAAGATCATTAGCTATATGTCAACAATCTCAAACTCATACTTTTGTGAAATAAAACTGCTTTAAAAAAAAAAAAAAAAAAAAAAGAAAAAAGAAAAGAAAACCAAAGCCTCATCACAAACCTGAGCAGCTACTCCCCCCGCCCCGCCCCCAGCGACATTACCATCAGGTGTTTATACGGAAACACACAAAACTTGATTATCCCCTCCAGGCCCACCACGCAGGGAATTTGCCACCCAGTGACACCTGTCTGACTCAGTAAAGGGATGCTTTCTTTAACCAAGAATTTTATATTTGGTGTTTGGTTTTTTTTTTTTTTTTTTTAATGGTTAGGAAAGGAGACGAGCGAGATGTGAAAATTGGAACCTAAGACTTAATTTCGATTTCATTGAATAGCTCTCGTTTCCTCCCATCTTTCTCTGCAGGAAAATGCAGGTATACGGGTGAAATTTCAACTGGTTTTTTTTTTTTGGCAGTTAAAAAAAAAAATCCCAATTAAAAAAAAAAAAAATGGAGGTTGGGAACCAGGGTGGAGATCGGCTGAAACTGAGGACTGCACCGGCAGCCTGGACTAGAAGTCCGGCGGCTGAAGGTAGCACGCCAGGATGCAACCAGGGTTCTCGCCGGCCTCCGCCTTGGGTTGGTGCCAGTGACTGCGCGGTCTTGGCAGCCCACTCGCACCTCGGGTTGGTCCGGACTTCAGGCTAGGCTCGTTCACTTCCGGTGACAAATCCCTCCCACCACCCTTAGAAATTATGTACCGTTTCCCCATCGCCTTCCTAAAGACCGTCGGCCCTACGGAGGGATGCGCGGAGCCGGGGCCCGGGGGGTCTCAGCCCAGCGCGGCCAGCGGAGCCCAGCTGCCGAGGGTGTGGCCGCCAGCGAGCCCGGGAGGAAGAGGTGGGGGTGGAATGTCATCCTCCCCCGCTCCCCCCTCCGACTGCAGCAATTGGCCAAAAAACCAAAAATCTGTTTTTAGACTCCCCCAGGGCCCCCCAAAGCCCCCGCTGCAGCAGGGAACCGAGACTCTCCCATCGCGACCGCCTCCCGCCTCCTTCCCGCCCCAGGAATAACCCGCGGGGACCCAGCTTGCCCCCAGGCCGCGCCGAGCTGCAGTGGATGGGGGAGGGCGGGAAGGAGGAGGGTTCCCGGGGCTACAGGGATCAGCTGGGCAAAAGGTGGTGGAAAGGGGTGGGGGGGAAGCCAAACACTGGAGGCATGCAAGTGGCTCCCTGGCCAGCTGTTCCAGCTGCCGCGTCCTCCGGCGCGGGCCGGGAGGTGCAATACCCCCCCCTCCATCTTTCTCACCACTACCTGTCCCCCACCACCCAGCACAAGCACACATTCCTCCCCACCACCCAGTAGCAGATCTCCGGCCTGTAAGGGGGTAGTAGGGAGGAGCTGGGGGGAGGGGGAGGCCTGCGAGTTTCTAACCTTGTTCTTATAAACAAACCCACATGTGCAGCTGCCGCTGCTGCAACTCACCCCACAATCCCGGATATAAGTCCTGCCCCTTTAAGAAGAAAAAAAAAAAAAAAACCTTCCCCCTCCAGCCTCCCGCCCCACCCATCCACTAGGACCTTTGTCTCCCCACCCCACTCCCCTCTGGAAGCCCCGCCCACATCCCCGCCCCTCCAACGTGAAGGAACCAATAGGCGAAGAGAATAAGGTCGGGGGTTTGACGTCATCGAGATCGACCAATCACAGGACGCGTTGGTGGGAGGCCTCGCGGAGGGCGCGCCCTGAAGCTGGGCGGCCTGTGCTGAAAGCTCGGAGTCAAGATGGAGGACGTCGATTGCTCCGCGGGGGTCGGAGACCTGGTGGCCGTGTCCCCGGGGGACCTGAGCATAGTGCCCGAGAGGCTTCAGCGGCGGGAGCAGGAGCGGCAACTGGAGGCGGAAAGGCGCAAGCAGAAGCGGCAGGGCCAGGAGGTGCAGGAGGAGAAGAGCGGCTTCTTTGTCGCCGCCTTCTCGCGTGAGCGAGCGGCCGCGGAGGAGCTGCTGCGGGGCGAGGCGTCGGCCGAACGGCTGGAGGAGGCGGCCGCCCGGCTGCAGGGGCTACGGAAGCTCCTCAACGACTCGGTTGTGTTCCTCGCCGCCTACGACCTGCGGCAGGGCCAGGAGGCGCTGGCGCAGCTGCAGACCGCCCTGGCGGAACGGCGCCAGGAGCTGCAGCCCAAGAAGCGCTTCGCTTTCAAGACGCGGAGGAAGGATGCTGTCGGGGCCGCCAAGGTGGACGCCGCACCTGTCGCCCCGGCCGCCCCTTCTCCGCCCTTGACCGAGAAGGGGGGCCCGGACGCCAGCTGGGCCTGTGGCTTCTCCAACCTTGAGTCCCAGGTCCTGGAGAAGAGCGCGGACGAGCTGCACCAGCGCGACATCCTTTTGACCGAGCTGAGCAACTGCACCGTCACTCTGCGAGGCAACCCCAACACCTTACGACTGGCCAAAGCCCGCGGCTGCAAGGTGCTCTGCGGTCCGGTGTCCACTTCGGTGTTCCTGGAGGACTGCAGTGACTGCCTGCTGGCGGTGGCCTGCCAACAGCTCCGGGTACACACGACCAAAGACACCCGCATCTTCTTGCAGGTGACCAGTAGGGCCATCGTGGAGGACTGCAGCGGCATCCAGTTCGCCCCATACACCTGGAGCTACCTGGGGATCGACAAGGACTTCCAGGACTCTGGTTTAGATAGGAACAAAAATAACTGGAACGCCGTGGACGATTTCAACTGGCTGGCCCGAGACGTGGCCTCCCCAAACTGGAGTATTCTTCCCGAAGAGGAGTGGGAGGTCCAGTGGCACTAAGCAGTTGTCACTCTGTACCTCACTCATACCAAATATTTAACGCGAGGGTATGACTAATTCAGTGGCGCCCGATTCAGTTCACGGACTGTTGTCACATTGTTTATGTTTGCTAAGTATTTTAGGTCTTGAAATTTATGTTAAGAGGCCCCTCCTTAGGTGTTCCATTAAATTCTTGACAGAGCATAATAACACAGGGCTTTTTGCGACTTTGGTAATGTCTCCAAGCCTTTCTTTGATAGTTTGAAGCATTAAGGGTTTGAAGGAATGGTGGTTTGGGTCTTGAGTGATTTGTGGGTCTTTAAAGTTGATCACGATGCTTGATAAAGTAGATCTTTAATAAATAATAAGGGAAGTCAGTGGAATTCCACTGGTAGAACCTTGGAAGTAGTAAGTCTCCATAAAGTACCATTAGCGGGTTCTTTTGTTTTTTTTGTTTTTTTGTTTTTTTTCCATCAAATGTTTGAACGGTGCCCTCCTCAGTGTGACTGTCCAGACTGCTCTCTCGAGCTACATCTTAGCTCTGGGCTTCTGGAATCCTGGGTATAGGCCAAAGTTTGAACGAACCCCTAGAGGCACATGAGACTTCCAACTGTAAGACTAAAGTAGTTATTACAGATACTGATCTTTCGTGAATGGTACATTGTTCCAAATCCCTCACTCATGTTACTCTTAAACCCTCAAAATCTGATGTGTTGGCACCATTTTTCAAGTGTGAAAAAAGGTAATTAATTGGCCAAAGGTCACACAAAGTACAACTGGAATTTGAAGCCAGGTAGTCTGGCTCTGGACTGCAGTCTTTTTGTTTTGTTTTGCTTTGCTTTGCTTTGTGTTTAAGGCAGGGGTTTTATTTATCTGGAACTTGCTCTGTAATGCAGGCTGACCTTGAACTCTCAATGATATACTTCAGCCTCCCAAGTTCTGAATTGCAGACAGAAACCTTCATTCCTGGCAGGACTCCATTTTTTTATTATTATTTTTATTTATGTCTATGAATATTTTGCCTGTATATGCAGAATTGTACCATCTGTGTACAGTGCCCACAAAGGCTAGAAGAGGGTGTTGGATCCTCTGGAACTTTCATTTCAGACAGTTGTAAGCTACCACATTGGTTTGGAACCCGAACCCAGATCCTCTGCAAGAGCAGCCAGTGCTCTTAACTGTGGAGCCATCTCTCAAGCCCCATCTTATGAATAACCACCACATGCTGATTGTGACTAATGTGAGAGGTGTTGGAAAGAAAGTTTCCAGAACACAGAGAGCAGATTGCTCTTCTTGGTCATAATTACGCTGCTTAGATGTCCTCTTACAGAGGGAGTTGCAATAAACATCCAGCTGAGTTTTAATCTTTTTACTCATTTTGCTGTAATGCACTACTGTTACAAATTGGGGTTTCTCCTCTTAAAAGCTACTGTCCAAGCATTCTCAAATGGAAAATTGTAGGCTAATTGTGAGAGCCTTTTTTATGGCCTTGAAACTGAAGACAATGACTTTAATACCTCAAGTATTTTGATACATGAAATAGCTTAAGTATGTTTAATATTCATGTTAATGTTGTAATTCATGTAATGCTGTCTCATTACAAAGAGGATTCAAAGTAGCTTTTAGGATAAAATCTGACAAGGTGACAAGAAAACTAAAAGGGGGCACACGGGTCAAGTCAAAATAGCAGAAACTATACCTTTTTCTGGTCTTTTTGAGACAGGGTCTCCCTATAGCCCCAGCTGGCCTCAAACTCACTATATAGATAGACCAGGCTGGCCTTGAACTCACAGAGATCCGCCTTCCTCTGCCTCCCAAGTGCTGGGATTATAAGCATGCACTACCACACTGGGCTAGAAATTCTTGAATGAGAAATAAATATGATTTTTTTACCCTTCACTATTAGTCTTGAAATGATGCAAATAGTTTCAGGATTTGCAGCAAAGGAGAAAAAGTCATTCAGAAGAAAGACTGGTCACAAAAGGACAAAATATGACATTCTTGATCATATTCTTTCAGTTACTAGCTGAGAACTGTATCCTAAGGCTGTGCCTGTCAGTTCAGGAAGAAACATCCTTGTAGCACTACACTAATGTGTTTGTGGACTAGGATTCTTTTTTTTTTTTGGTCTTTTTGAAGCAGGGTCTCCCTGTAAGCCCCAGCTGTCCTGGAACTCATTATGTAGACCAGGCTGGCCTTGAACTCACAGAGATCCTCCTGCCTCTGCCTCCCAAGTGCCGGGACTACAGGCGTGCACCACCATGCCTGGCTGGGACTAGGATTTTTAACAGGAAAGCCAACTACATTTATAAAAGTTCTGAGATCAGGGTATAGAGTACTTGCTTATCTAGGCTGAATTTGAACTCCAGTACCACCAGGAAAAACAACAAAATAATAATGAAAATAAAATACATGGGCCCTGGAGATGGACCAGTAGGTAAAATGTTTGCTGTGTAAACATAAGGACCTGAGTTTGGATTCCCAAGCATCCATATAAAGGTTGAGTGTAGAGGTGTGGGTCTGTAAACCCCAGCACTCAAGGAGGCAGAGACAGATGGATCCTGGGATCTCATTGGCCCACCAGCCTAGCCAAAGGGAGAGTTCCAGGTTCACTGAAAGATCCTATCTCAAAAAATCTAGGAGACTCGTGATCTTGATTTATGGCCTACATACACCCAATCACAGGAGAATATACCCCCTACACACGTTAAGCATACACCAAATATACTAAATATTAAACACTTTAAAAATCCCTTAGATAAGCCGGGCGTGGTGGCACATGCCTTTAATCCCAGCATTCGGGAGGCAGAGGCAGGCGGATATCTGTGAGTTCAAGGCCACCCTGGTCTACATAATGAGACAGCTGGGGCTACAGAGAGACCCTGTCTCAAAAAGACCAAAAAGAAAAAATCCCTTAGATCTTGGAAACCTGCAATTTGGTTTTTAGCTCCTATTTTTAATAAGTTCGCATGGCCCAGGTAGCCTTGAACTCCTGATCCTTTTGCCTCCACATCCCAAGTACTGAGCTTATAAGCATACACTACCAATCCTAGCCACATAACTTGCAATTTGTACTCAATAACAAAATGGTGGTAGTGCTAGCTAATTTCAGCTGAGCTTTCCTTGCTCAGTAAGCCCACTGTACCTTCCTGCATGACATTCTGTTCAAATCATGTCAGATCTTTTCCTACTTTGCTAGATTTCAAAATCTTAATGCCTGTGATTCTACCAACCTCACCAGACAATACATTATAAGCTGTCTTTAATGTCCTTCAATATTTGAAAAAATTCTCATCTTCACCCATCTTTTTCATTTCTTTTTGAGACAGGGTCTCTTTATAATCACAGCTGGCCTGGATTTGCTATGGAGACCAGGCTGGCTTTGAACTGATAGAGATCCACTTGCCCCTGCTTCCAAAGTACTGGGACTAAAGATGTGTGTCACTTTTATATTATGTGTAAGTGTATATCGAGTGCATGTTTACAAGTATACCATATCATGCAATGCCTGTGAAGGAGAGAAGAGGCTGTCAGATCCCCTGGAACTGGAGTGATAGACAGTTGTTTACTGCCACGTGGATGTTGGGAACTGAACCCAGGTCCTCTGTAAGAATAGCCAGTGCTCTTAACCACTGAGCCATCTCTCCAGCCCTGCCCGTCTTCCTTTCTATAGGCCTATTTCCCTTTAACTTTAACTTCCACACATGGCACACATTTAGCTATCATGATCAACCACCTGTCCAGAGTTTCAATTCCTGGAGGAAGTCCCTATCCCAGTCTTCATTGCAGCAGCCATCACAGATGGAGGCAGTTCTGCCAAAGGCCTGCCTCCTAGTTTCAGGTGAGCAAGACCAATTGCCCACATTCCATTGTAATGGAGCCTATCTAGACTGTGACTTATAAACATTTCCTCACAGTTTCAGAGAGTGGAAATACAAGATCAGGGTGAGCAAATGCAGTGTTTGATGAGGGCCTGCCTCCTGGTTTGTAGACTGCTGTTTATTTTTATGTGTGTAAGTGTACTCGTGTCCTTCAACCCTTGTGGGAGCCAGAAGAGGGTGTACAATCTCCTGGAACTGGAGTTACTGATAGTTATTAGCTGCCATGCCGGTGCTGAGGACCAATAGAATCTTAAGAGTACAAATAGCAGAGCCCCCCCCCCATCACACTAGGGTTGGTTTCAATGTGAGTTTTAAAATGTTTTACTTATAATTGTTATTTTATATGTATGAATGTAATGCCTACATGTATGTAAGTGCACCCGTGTCATGTAGTGCCTGTAGAGGTCAGAAGAGGGCATTGGATCCCCTGGAACTGGAGTTATAGACAGTTGTTAGCCACCATGTGGGTGCTGGAAATCAAACCTGGGTCCTCTGCAAAAGCAGCTAGTGCTTTTATCAAAGCTCTGAGCATCTCCAGACCCTCTCTGAGCACTTATAATATGAACATCAACTTGTATTCTCAAGAGCTTTGTCAGTTTACAGGTACACTAGTCAACGTTTGCGAATGTTGTCCCTATCAACATGACCTGTGTCAGACTTCTGAATCTTTGCCAATCTGATGACAAATGTTCATTTCCTGTAGTAGACATTGTAATGGTCTCTCTACCTCAACTGGCTAAACCATTCTGCGTGCTGTTGCCAAATTATTTTTTTCAAAGTATGTCTCTCTTGGGCCTCATGCTTTCTGGGGCTCCTATTATCTCAGGGACTCCCTGCCCTGGAAGACAAGCCATTTCACCATCTGCTCTCAGCCTACTGTTTTTACATGAGTGTCTACTGTTTCCTCTCATACACTCCATGCTCCAGCTAAGTCTGAACTAATACCCATTAATCAAACACACTGTATCAGGGCCCTGGCAGGAAACAGATGGCACTCTCCAAATGGGTAGTTTGTGAAGAGCTTAACTTGGGAGCTATTTACAAAGATGTGGGCAGAATTTAGGGAAAGCAGTAAGAGGTGGTGTGATAACTGCATCCTCTCTCTTTTTGGGGGGGGGCTCTTTTTGAGACAGGGTCTCCCTGTAGCCCCAGCTCTCCTGGAACTCACTATGTAGACCAGGCTGGCCTTGAACTCACAGAGATCTGCCACCATGCCCGGCCTTTCTTGACAGAAGGAACAAAGCTATTATATGAGTGGGAGAGGGATGGGGGAGGGAGAGGAACAGTAGTAGGGAGGACACTACACTGTGAGTTGGGGGGGGAGGATAACCAGAGGGAGAGCTGTGGGTATTGAAAAGCAACGATGCCTTCTGAACCCAATTGGGCGTTTCAGAGCAACCAAGTCCTTTGGAGCATTCCATATGATTCGGCCTTGGGGGTGGGGGTGGGGGGTGGGGGGAGAGACTGAGTAGAGAGGCAAATGGGAGATAACCAGTACGAACATTTCCTGGGCTTGGCTAGGTCACTTTCCACAAAGTTTGGATCCATATGCACTGGCCAAACTTTTGTGCAACTCAAATGTCACCTCCTCTGGGAATCTTTTGAGGTTTACCTCAGGGTATGAAAATAAAGCATGATGTGTGTAACACATGACTTTAACTCCAGCTCTTGGGAAATAGAGGCAGAGGTAGAGGCAGGCAGACCTCTATGATCTTGAGGCAAGCATGGTTGCTTCAAAATCAGGCTAGCCAGGGCTACATGTGAGAATCTGTTAATCTGTTTACAAAAAAACAAGAGTAGGCAGTGTGTGTGTGTGTGTGTGTGTGTGTGTGTGTGTGTGTGTCTTCATTTTGTTTTGCTTTTTTGTGTGGTGCTGGGGATGGAACCCAAGGTCTTGTACATAGCAGGCAAGTGCTCTATCCCTGAGCTACATCACCAGTGAGAAGCATTACATTTTGAGACATGTACCTGGATATGAAAGGAACCTGCATAAGCTAGTCTCTGAGGTCAAGCTGTTGAATTCTCCAGTAGCTAAAATTTTTTGTTTTGTGTTTTGACGCAGTGTCTCCCTACAGCCCCAGATGGCTGGGAACTTGCTACATAGACCAGGCTCACCTCAATCACACAGAGATCCGCCTGCCCCTGCCTCCAGAGTGCTGAGATTAAAGGCGTGTATGGGGTGTGCAGGGATCTCGTGACGCCGGCCCCCTGCGCACACCTGCAAAGGCGGCGCGGGCACCGTGTCGCTCTCCGCTGCTAAGGTGTTGAAGGTCTTGCGCTAGCGTGGCGCAAGTCCCCTGTGTACACCTGGAGATGCGGCGGGTCCCGCAGCGTCTGCTCCGGGTTGCTGGCTCTCTGGCGGGTCTCTGAGGCTTCTGCTGGCAGGGCTTGCCCAGCCGAGTTCCACCCTAATTTCACCCGTGTACTCTCTCTCTAAGTTCGGGACCTGTCAGCTGCCGGGTCACAAGGAGAGGTAGGAGGCA